TAGATCAATAATCGGGCATGTATAATATATATGGCTCTTCGATAAAACTAGGGTTGTGCATGGATTGGTTTTAACCACCAACCAACCCATTTTCGACCCATAGTTTGTGACGGATCATCAACCATCAACCGACCCATTTAAGTTGGGTCGATAATGTCATCCAACCCATGTATAATTGGGTCGATAATTGTTTCTAATATGCTAAAAAGTTGGTTAGTCGGGTAATATCGGCCAACTAACTTTATTTATTAATTTATTATTTATTACTTTTATTTAAAATGTTTAATATTTTTAGTTTCAAATTTCTATTTTATATCACATTTGTTAATTTATCTAATATTGAACAAAATCCTAAAATCAATAAATCTAATCTAATATGATCTAATCTGAACTATTTTAATTTTAAGACATATAGCCTAAATATTTGAGCGATTATATTATGTTGAACTATTTATGTAATTGCAATACATATGGTCCGTAATGTTTTGAATTTTTTTTGTTTGAATATTATTGAACTAGCTTAGTCATATTTAATTTATAAAAGATATAGTGTGTAACAACTAATAAAATATTAAAAAATATTTAGATGGATGACATCAACCAAATCATCAACCGACCCGCTAAATTGGTTTCCAACCATCACCCAATCCATATAAATTGGATCGATAACGGTTTCCAATATTTACCAAAGTTGGTTGGAAGGGTTGGGTTGATTTTATGACTGGTTTTTAACCAACCCAACCAACGCACAACCCTAAATAAATCTCCCCTAAGTATTACAATAATAGGTAGATGCTCGTCTATAGTTTCACTAACTGAGATAAATCCATATTCGTTTCTCTTTTTTCCTTTCCAAAATTATTCTTCCACTATTTTCGTCTACCTACTACACCCGTCGTCGTTTTTTTTCCTTATAAATTAATTTTCGTTTTTTATTTTGTTATTATTATTATTTATTAGCTTATATATTATGTCTCTCACGTATATTAACCATATATATAGTTAGTTATATGTAGGAAACTCTAACCTATTACACAAGTTAACCTATTACACAAGGTAACTATAATAAATAATAATAATAATATATACGTGATATATATAATATATACGCTAATATTATTGTTATTAAAAAAAAAGAAGCTCTTTTTAAACTTTTTTTTCTTCTATTTCTATCAGGTATATTAATCGACTACAACATTAATCTTCTACGTACGATTAATTGCATTTGGATTGCCGGTTCTTGGTCAACCTTTAATCAATCTCTGCGGTACGCGGTTCGATTCATGATCGAACTGCGTCTCGTGTTTGTGCTTTAATTTGAACCCTAAATTTTAGACTTTTAGTCAATGTTACCCTAAATCTCATGTAATTTAACTTGTAGTGTTGGTCAACGTGTATGCATTTATGAATTAAAAGTCTTCTATAGTCCCACATGCAAGGAACATGCCATCAGAACTTAAACAAAAAAACAAAAGTAATTATATTTAAAGAAAATGGAGATAGAAAAAATGGCCAAACTGCAGTAGACATTTTCACGTGGAGATATTAAATATTTAACACCTGGCCAGTTAATATTGACTATAAATTAAGAAGTCAATATTTAATTAGTAAATAATATTTCAAGTGCTACTATCCAAACACTTTCTTTGTATCTTATTAATAAAAATGAGGTTACGTTGCTCATGATAAATTTTAGAGAATTTGGCTTGTTTATATATTTTTGGATTAAATTATCATATGATTATGGGATTATTTCTGGGCATGTTTAAATTAATTCAATATTCGAAATATTAGTGTCTAATATACAGGAAATCTTCGAAAAAATAAATAAATAAAATCGTGAAATCTCTCCACATCTCTAGATTAGTATACTTCCAAAAATCCATTTATATTCATTAGAATTGTGTGTGTGTAGGGGTGCAAGTTGAAACGGAATTTCCAATTTCCGCTGGTTTCGATCCGAAAAGTTCCGATTTTGGAACAACTTTTTTTATTCCGACTTCCGAAATTCCAATTTCCGAATTTTTCCGATTTTTTTGAATTGGAATTGGAATTATATAAAATAAATTTGGAATTTCCGATTTCCGAGCCGATTTAATTCCGAAATTAATTTCTAAAAATTCCGATATTTTTCCAAAAAATACACCTATAAATAATCTATATTATATAATATTTATTTTCCGAAAAATACACCTATAAGTTTTCTCTTAGGATTTTGACATAATGAATTGTTGTTACAAGTTTTATTGGATATTATGTTGTGTTTATGTTTATTTATTTTTTAACTAAAATTTTGTAGTAATTAGTTTTACTTTTATCGACGTGGATGTTCTTATTTTTGAAAAATTATGGACATTTTAGAAAATTTCGACTAAGTTTTGAAATTTTAAAGCTTATGTGATTTCCGATTTTTTTCCGAAATTCCGAAAAATCCGGGCCTTTTGGAATTGGAAAGAATTTTTAGATTCCGAAAATTTTGGAATTGGAATTGGACTTGACTTTGTACTTCCAAATTTTTTTGGAAATTTTCCGAAAAGGCTAATTCCGATCCGATCCATCCGACTTTCACCCCTATGTGTGTGAGAGAGAGAGAGAGAGAGAGAGAGAGAGAGAGAGAGAGAGAGAGAGAAATTCTTTTATTTAATGGAGGAAGTTGGGCTGCAGTTTCCTGTATGAAGAATTTAATTGCATTTTTTTTACTCTTTTGGTCATCTTTTTTTATAAGTATTTTTTTCAGGGGTCAGATTGAAGATACCCATTTTTTTTAATATATATTTCATTAATAATTTATGAAGACTATTCGGAAAGTAAACCTTTTGAATTGCGTAAGGGTCAGTTTCGGGATTACTGATTAATTGATTATTAGGAAGGTTAACTGCACTTAACTCTTTAATTGTAGGGTATTAACTATTAAGTGGGACAATTATTTTATAGTTTAAATTTAAAATGTAGGATCAGAAAAGATGGACGTATTAATTAAAGCGACCGGTTGACTTGAAGTCGTTTTAAACAACTAATAACCTCTTGTATCTTATAAATTATTTTAAAAGCCGAGAAACCGTTTGAGTGGTAAATGGTAGACAAGGCCACGGGGCGGGTCAGGTCCCGGTCCGACTTTTAGGGGATCCGAAACCGACTTGCGGGGAGGCGGGTCGGGTCCGGGGCGGTCCACCCGGGTCCAGGTCGGGTCCGGGTCCACCCGGTTTTTCATTTTTTTCTTTTTTTTACAAGAAAGAAAAAGAAACTTATATTGAAACTTGAAAAAACATGAGATTAACTTTAAATTCAAATTTAAGAAAATAATTATATTAACACTAAACAATTTTAGAGAAAAATGAAACGATTAAGACTTTGAGACATAAACTAAATAAATGAAAGTTGTGAAGATTGAAATATGCGTATTTATAAGTGAAAGTAATAATTGAGAAATTTTTCAAATTTTCAAAATTCAAAAAATACCAAAATTCAATCTTTCTTTTACATTAAATCGTATTTTTATATTTTTCAAAATTAAATATATATGCATTTGTTATTAGTCGAGATTTTTGATATTAATAATAGTCAACATGACAATTAATTACTTTATAAAACATCAGTTATACAATTATTATAATCATTTTACGGTGTTATTTATATTTATATATTTATGGTTAGGATTATTATAACAAGGAATATATATAACATAAACAAAAGGTGTAAAATGATTATAATAAATAATGCTAAATAGATTATTAATGATAATATTCAATATTATAAAATAATTTTAATTAAATTATTAAAAAATATAATATAATACAAAAATAAAAAAAATTGAAAGGACTTGAGCTTAATTCATTTAAATATTACGATTCGATTCTAATATTTGAATAAAATGTAAATGTAAAAAAATGATTAAATCATATGATCTACGATTTAATTCTTACGATTTTTACAAATTAAACCAATTATTAAAAGAGAAACCACATCATAATATTTTGATTATACTCTTCATATATAGTTTTATTTTTAAAGTAAAAAATTAATTAGAATGAGATATAATCTAGTTTTGTTAAAATAAACATCATCTATATTTTTAAATAATTATCTTATGATAAAATAATCAATAATTTTAATAAGTTCTTGTCAACAATTGAGGTTAATCAATTTGAAATGAGTTATAATCCTTTTTTTTTTAAATAAACATCTTATTTTATTTTTCATTCGAATTTTTCACACTATCGATTTTAATAACATAAGTGAGTTTATATTAAGTCAGCGCGTTTGTTTATATATTGAATTGATTCAATACTTTATAGTTTCCAATAGTGGAGATTATATTGATATTAGTAATTAATAATAGATGTTTTGAAGTATTGAACCCTGATTCTATATATATTTTTAAAAGTTTTTTATATTGTATTTGTTAATAATTAAATTTAAATTATTTAATAATAATTAATGTGAAAATCAATAATTTATTTAACATATTTATCATTTTACATTACAATTTTATATTATATATATTTATCGTCTACATTCAATCAAATGTGTTTTTTGCCCTAGTGATTAGAGTTGCCCAATTTTGCCTATTTTACCCGCGTTCGAATCCCCTAATACCCAATTTTTGGACAAAAAAAACCCAAAATTCAGGTTGAGTCCTAAATATCTGGACCTGAATCGACCCATGCATGGGCGGGTCCGGGCTGGGCGGTCAACGGGGGTCAAACCCGGCCCGTGGCCGTATCTAGTAAATGGTAATGAATTTATCTGCTATTTTTATTTATTATAATGTTTTAAATAAAAAATTTGTGGTAGATGTAATTTATAAAAAAAAATTATTTGCTCTTCAATAATTTTTTATTTTGATTATTAAGATTTTTTTTTTTAATAATTATCAAACACTTTAGAAGAGTTTATAAGCTTTTAAACATTTTTTAACTACTTATAAGTTTAGTCAAACAACTCCTTCGATTCGATAAGGGAAGCCAAACACTCTCTCGATTCGATAAGGAAGACAGTTAAAAACCTGAAAATTCGATTAAGCGTAGGTGAAACCAATCATCTAGAATATCGAACACAACATGTTCGACGAATTGTCAAAGAGAACAAATTTGTAAAAGTATATCCAATGTAAATTACATCAAGAAAGCCATACATACGTACAGCAGAAACACTTAAAACAACGTTTTAGTGTAGCAAGAATAGACAAACTCCAAACAAACAAATCAATCTTCACATATTTTCCTGTAATTTTTGCAGGTCCAAAGAAGAAAAAAAAAAAACACAACAAAGCACAACAATTGAAAATTCCACACGTTTATTAATTAATCAAATGTGTTAGTTTACGTAGTGAGGATCGGAGGAAAGTACTCGGCCACGGATCCAAGAACCCTAGCTTTTGTATCCGGAAAGTACTCCATTCCGGGCAGCTCAGTCACCGTGCCCTCCGACGAAACTCCAATCGGGTAGCTAAGTAAATGGCCGGGCAGATCTTTCTCGAGATCCTCCTTAGTGTAAAGATCCCAATTCTTCTGACCTATTTTGTTCACCCTTTGAATGCACTCAATGCTATGAGGATGGCAAAAAGAGTCGTCCAATAATCCCATGTGCTCGTACCATAACGCCATTCGTAACCCGTAAATTTCACCCCTCGCAGGACTCGTAAACGAAAGATGATACGGTTGATAAGCTCCCATCGCAATTTCCGAATCTCGTGCACCGTCCATTGATCTTTGGTTAATGTTCGCCGATCCTATGATTATGTACTCATCATCCACTGCAAAACAAAGAAGATTAGTAATTAATTAATGACATGTTACAATTTTTTAATGTATAAAGAATTTAATTTACCGATCATCATCTTTGCGTGGACGTAGATCATTCCTCGTCTAGCTTGTTGTGCTCGGCTGTAATCCGTGTTGGAATCGGGTTTCTCCGGCGGCTCGTATTCGTTGCTCTTTTTCACCTCCCTATTGCCAAGGCAAAAGAATGTCAAATAGTCCTTAGGGTCTGCAACTATGCCCTTTGCTCGAAGGGCTTCGACGATGTCGGTGTACATCATCTCCATAGTCCTCCTTTGCCAATCCAATATAGCTTGAACCGAAGCGGATTCCGGAAAACCCTCCGGCCACATAGGAACGACGACGTACACTCTAAACGGCTCCCCCGCTTCGATCTTACTCACGATCTTCAACGAGAGCTCTTTCGGAATCAAGTGTAGGGCTCCAACATCCGCGTCTTTGATATGATCCTTCGAGTACCACGAGAAGGAACTCCCCAAGAAGTATTGGTTCTCAATGTAGATGAATCGGCTCGCGCGACGAATAGCGTGGATGTATCCGTCTTGAATGCTCCGGTCGATGATGTTGTCTTTCCCACTCACGAGCCCCGATTTCGCCGCCTCCTCGGGAGCGTCGGGGAAGCCGAAGGCGGCCCCACCGTCGATCGAGCGAAATAGTTGAACGTTCCACGTCTCGTGGTCCTCGGGAAATGTGACGGGTGATGGCGGGATTATAATATCTTCGAGTTCTTGGAGCGGGAGAAGCAAGTCCTTTCCGCCTTGCTTCTTCCACCTCTGCTCGAAGTTGTAGAGTACATCCCAAGCGACGGGCCCCTCGAGCCTGCAGTGGATATCATGCCAGGGCTCGCGGGGCCCGCCCTTCTGGATTGTGGCCCCCGCAATGTTTCCCTGATGGAAATCATTGTAGTGGACAGAATCCAGCGTCCTGAAAAGGGAATGGAACTGCGTGTCGTAACGGCCATCGCAAAGATCAATGCCGCCAATGAAGCTGACGAGCCGCCTGACGTCCGAACCCCCACCATTAGGCATCTCGCCATCCACCACCACAATCTTTTGGTGGTGAGTGAACATTGTCCCGATCTCTATATTCTGAATAATGCTCCGGCCATCGTCCGGATTTCGCGGGCACAAAACGCAATGCACCTCCGTATTACGGAAATACTCCCCCGTTTCTTCGTCATGAGTCATCATCAAGCCATCCTTCTTAAGCAACCCCACCGAGGTTCGGTCATCCCACACTAGAAGAAGAACCCTAACACCTTCATTAGCCTTCTTCTTCAAAAGCTCGCCGAGGGTCAAATCGCCACCGGGTTTCTGCCTTCTGCGGTCCCTCACCAACGTGATCTCCGTGTAGACCGACCAACCGGTGATGTAGATCATGTGCTTGGCATTGTATATCGCATCGAAAATATCCTCCCAACAACGATGGGGCTCGTAGAACTTCCCTCCGGCGAGGGGTATTTTGGGAATGAAATCGTCCGGCACGTGCGCGTCTTGATAAAGAGTGACTCGGCAGCCTTTCCTCTGTTGGAAGAAGGTGAAGGGCACGCCGGGGAATTTCGGGCTCTTGAGACCGCGGGACCAGCAGCGCTCGCGGGCGACGTCGAAGAAGTGGAGCTTGACGTGGATCTTGGGGTGGCCGTGGACGGGTTTGTTGTTGGTGTGGAGGATGGGGAGCCACGTGTCGATCTCGTCGCCGGACATGAGGTCGGAGACGGGGATGTGGGCCCGGCCGATGAGCTCGGCGCCGATGGGGTTGTCGACTTTGATGGTGAAGATGACCTGAGAGGCGGTGTGGGCGCAGTAGATGTGGAAGGACTCGTACCACCGCGGGTTTGTGTGCTCGTGCTTCAGGAGGCGCGTTCGCCCGACGCGCGCCTGACCCAGGTCGATCGTGGCGTACAGCTTCGACGCGGTTTCTTTGAAACCCAGAACTTCCTCCACGCCTTCTACAACCTGTATTTTTACAGACAAGTATGTGTGTGTGTTGTTCAGTTTTTTGTTACAGTTATTACAGTTATAAAATGGGGGAGGGGGGTAAATTGTATCAAATAACTTGGATCTGTGCACTTATGCAAATTTATTTATTTTTTTGCAATTTATGATTATCTGTTCAAATTAGGGAAATTTACAGTTTCATCCCTCAGGTTTTCAATGATTACACATTTGGTCCCTTATGTTCGTAAAAAATACATTTGATCCTTTATGTTTCAATAATTTGACACTTTTGGTCATTTGACTCATTTCCGTCAATTTTCCATAAGTCAGTCAGTTACAGTAGTGATGGCGCATGTTTGATTCCGTTATTTTTAACAGAAAATTGAAGGAAATGACTAAAACTGTTGAATTTTTAAAACATGAGGGACCAAATGTTTTTTCTGTGAACATGGAAGACCTAACATGAAATCGGTTCAAACTTGAAGGGTAAAAACTATATTTTTCCTGTTCAAATCATCATCTCTTTCCTTTGCTTATTGTATTTATTAATAAAATAATAATCACTTTAAAATATAAGTTCTGAATTTCGTTGATTTATGTTACGACTTTCGATAAATTTTATTAATTTTAATTTTTGAAAATTCGATTTCCGATATTCTTAAATTATCAGAACAACATAAGAATTGATTTTTCATTTAAAAGAAATGGACTTATGAAAAAAATATTAATTTTGACTTGACCGGTTCGATTTTCACCTCAATTTAAAAAGTGATGTGCTTAATATTTGTGTAATTGAAAAGGTGTCCCAATAATAGAAGAAAACATTAATTTTGAGATTGAATTAGGTAAGTGCAGCGCACGTGACTTTTGTAGCATGTTCACATAACTATTTTCACCTACTCCTTAGAAAAATGAAATATTCATTTAGCACTACTTAAGATTCAAACATGGGTGGTTCGATTATAGCCGCCCTCGCATGTTGATATCCAATATACTAAGTTCTATTTGCAAAAAAACCCCTTATTTTTCTATAATTACATCTAACTCCCTACAATTTGTACATTTCTTACATTAACACCATTTTATAGGATCTAGGACGTAAGAAATCTAGAAATTTCAGGGGCCCGGATTTAATTTCTATTAAAAAGGGCTTTTTTGTATTTACACTTTATTTGAGGGAGGTGATGGTAATTTACTCTAATGGAGTATATAGTTAAATTAGTCAATAACTTAACATGTATGCAACGCCAATTGCCAGCAAACCATTAATTGATGTATACATTAATTAAACTACACTTTTAATTGGATAAATAATTTGTCAATACTAATTCTTGTGAATTTATTGCATCCGGCACCCCTGTACTTTATGAAATTGCAAAACATTGCTGTCATATTATTAATATCAGCAAAAAATCCCTCTTAAATGCATTTTTTGTCAGTGATCTTTTTCTGGCCATAAAAATTGAATCATATAGCAATTTAGCTAATAAAAATATCACAAAAAGCATTTTTAACAATTATAGTAAAAATAGGGGTGCAGAATGCAATAAATCATAATTCTTATCATACCTTTTTTTTAAATATTCCAAATTTAATATTTTTAATCTAATATATATACATATAGAACTAACAAAGCAAGAAAAACGGAATTAAATTAAATGGACAATAATCAAGAAATTAAAATTCGTCACATATCTCAAATATAAAAACCACTTAAATAATCAAGGTTAATAATAATAGCAGCAAAATAAAAAAAATAAAAAAAAAAAAATTACCTTATGGAATAATTTGCTGGCGGCTCCAATATGTAGCTTATCGATCTCGTAAATAGTTGCATGAAGATCACCGTGTAGTAATATATGTGCCATCGCTGCTTCTTCTTCTTCTTTCTTCTTCAGAAGCTAGAGAGATAATTATCTGTAGAGAGAGAAAGAGAGGAGAGAGAGAGAGAGATGCACTATGAAATACAATTCATCTCGGGTGTGAATTAATTAGCAATGAATAAATAAAATAATCGGGTATATATTTTGTATATACATACAATTCGGAAGAGTATATTCCGTGAGGACAAAACTGCAGATATTGATTGATTGTTTTTTTTTTTTTTTAATATTTGTTCAAAATTTTAGTGGTTAGTCACTCTAGTTACGTTGCCTAATTCCAAGATTCCTTTTTATGCAAATAAAAAAAAGACTATTGACCGATCTCTTCTTTTTTTATTTTTTTTCCCGTATATAGTATGATTCGAGTTTAGGGTTGTTCGTTCGGTAATAACATATCAAACCCGATACTTCAAAAATTTGTAACGTTTAATTATAAATTAATTTGTGTAAATTGATAATTATAAGAGCCAAAATGTTTCGATTTTAATTTGTACGCATATTCTATCGCATGAGTATCTTTTTTTAATTATTTTTTAAGGGTAAATTACAACCACCCCTGAGGTATGGTTAAATTACGAAAACCCATTAATGTTTGGATAATTACAACCACCCCTCAATTTTAAATATTCTTACACGTTCGTCCTTGCGGTTTCAAATTTAGTGGAATCTTCGATATTATATGTATTATCAACACTTTTGTACATGTTTTATCTCATTCGAACTCCACATTTTGAAGCAAGATGATCATAATATGTGTTTTCTAGCTTGTATATATCAGATTGTGGTGCATCAGAAATTGTATTTTTACACAAAACGAGTAAAAACTAGAGCACATTCCACGAAATTTAGATGATTATGTTGAATTTGACACCATAAGGGTGGAAGTGTAAGAAAAATCATAGTTGAGAGAGGTATATGTAATTATCCAAACAATAGAGGATTTTTTTCATAAATTAAACATACCTTCAGGGTGGTTGTAATTTATCTTTTTAAAAAAAATAGAGGATTAATAGTTTATTGTAAAATGTCAATATCAATTTACTTAGGAAAAAACGTATGGGAAGAAGGGGTTTGTTAGTGGCATAATATAATTGACCAGGCTTTATTATTTCATAAATAAATAAATACATAGTTTTAGTTGAGTTAATCAATAATTTTCTCTTTGAGTAGGTCATTTTCTTTATAAAATAAATGTTTAGTTTTTTATTTGTGGGTCCCACACTCACTGCATATATAAGTAGATATATGTAATCCGCAAAAGCAAATAATGGATAGCCACGTGGACCCCTCCTTTGATTAAAGTCGTATAGGCTGCTGTGTTGCTCCTCCATGAAAGCAATTGGCGCTGCCCATGTACCCATTTATTTTATTATTAATTAATAATTGCGATATTTTAATAAAATAAAAGTCTTTCTTTTTAAATAGCCTCCAATCGCCAAAGTTTTAGTTTTACAATTGCTTTTAAAGAAATTCGATTCAAATACATGTAAATAAATTTACACGCCCGTATAATAGCCTATAAATTATATGAAAGACGTAAATTACACTAGGTTAATCATGTATGACAAGTTCGACCTTAACGACGGTTGACAAGAAGATTCGAACTTGAATCAATTGACAGAAGCTTATTTGCTTCAACTGCTGGACGATCCCTTATGGAAAAACTAATACCTAACAATCTCAAATTGACCGATTCCACCAATGTATTAGACCAACTGCCACTCCAACAACATTTTACAAAATGCTACCTTTTGGGGGCAAAATAGTCATTTCAACTAGAGAGGAAAAAGGCAAGGGAAAATTAGTTAAAACCGACCGTTATGAAACTGCAGTGATATAGGTTCAACATTTGAAAATAATTAGTGATAACCTCCTCCTTATGTTTCCGCGAAATTCTGAATTAAAATTGGACTAAAACCAACTACTTTGTTATCGCAATTGATTGATTAAACAACATAATTATCACATAACAAAACTAAAATCAATGGGAAAAAAGAACCGTGGCGATTCATGAGAAGAGGACTTCAGTAGATGCACGAGGGACAAAGTAGCCATACTTGGACGGTTTTATATTTGAGAAGGTAGGTTGATAATCGTGTAGCGGATCCAATGGTGTAGGGAAGTGTAATATTAGACATTTCTATATGATTGTAATTTTTAAATTAAAGACTATATCTAAGAACCCCAAAAGAAAAAGACGATGTCGGGTCGAATGCGACCCGACCCGACCCACCCATTGTCCGGCCCGTTTGTGAGACGGGCTTGAAATGTGGGCTTGAAAAGATTGGCCCACCAGCAAGTGGAGCAATAATTCAACGTCTTATTGGGCTTACAAACTTTGGTAAACCCAATTATTTTTTTCCTTTTTAAATTCTTTTTACTAAAAATGAAGACAATTCACATCATAGTAAAATTGGGCTTTTTGTTAATTTTCCTTGGTCTTTTCTAGATCCATTAGTTTTACATCAAGATATTTTCAAAATTAATAATTAAATTGAATTTGAATAACTTAAAATACTAATTAAAGAATATTTTTATTTATTTATTTAGGAAAAAATACCCTTTTTATTTGTTTATTATTATTGTAGTGAACCGATCCCAATACAGACCCAAACAACACCCACGTCAATACAACATTCAAAAAATCAAACATATAGAATTATTAATTTTATTTATTTTAGTAAAAGAATATTAATTAAATAAAGCAATAAATCATAAATATGAACAGAGCTCGAGAAGATTAATTAAGTGTATAAATAGTGCCTGTAAACGGCGACAAAAATAAAAACATAAACGGCAAAAGTGCTTATCACTTTTTTAATTACAAACAATTACAACTCTTTATTAACACACAACACACACACACACATACCATTCTCTCACTACTTTCTCTCTCTAAATTTTAGCAAGAAATAATTTCAGCAGCACCGCCAACCACCACCACCATGGCGGAGAACCGCTTGAAATTCCACATCCGCCGCATATTCCGATCACCCCTCGCCTCATGCAAATCCAAAGACCAAATCTCCGACGTCGTCGAGACCAACCACCACCATCACGGCCGCCGCCGCCACCACCAGCTGGTGGAGCTTTTCTCCCCGGCGGCGGCACAACATCGCAGTAGTAGTAGTCCAGCGTTCATCTTCCGATCACCCACGGCGGCGGAGAAGGATGAACAAGAAGAAACCTATTTCATCACCAACAAAACCAAAACCACCACCTCGTTAATTAGCAACAAACTCCTCTTCCTCTCACCCGATGTGAATGGTCGAAAATGCCCCCCCGCTTCCCCCATATTTTCACCCCTCAACAATTCCTATTACGATTTTCCCAAACAGAAGAAAAAGAAAAAGGGACGCTCCATAATTGCTTATGAGAACAAGTACAACAACTTGTTCATCAGCGACGAAAATCAAGAAGAAGAACAAGAAGCTGAGCACGAAAGAGCGGCGCTTTTCCGGCGGAGGTCCACCGCCGCCACCACACGGCGGAGGATGGAGGCGGCGGCGGCGGAGGACGACACACTGGCGGTGGTGAAGCGGTCGAGCGATCCGTACAGTGATTTCAGGACGTCCATGGTTGAAATGATTGTGGAGAAGGAGATTTTTGCGGCGAAAGATTTGCAGAATTTGTTGCAGTGTTTTTTGTCGCTAAATTCTTGTCGCCACCATAAGGTTATATTTCAGGTGTTTGCTGAAATTTGGGAAGCTCTTCTTCTACCGTAGTGGATTAATGATTAATTAAGATTAATTTACTTAATTAATCATCAGTTAACAGTTCAATATTAATCTTAATTAGTCCCTGTTTGGTTTTCTAGTCACAATGTTTTCAGATTTGTACAAATATCATTTGTCTGTTTTTGAGTAATTTTTTTTTCCTTTTAATTTATGTTAATTTTTTTTCTTTATTTTACTGTTTGAATTTAAATATACTTATTATAAACAATTAAAAATATCAATTTTATGCAAATTAATACACGATTAGTGAATGATTGCTTATGATTGGTGGGTTTGTTTTTTCGTACCGACCAATTAAAATGCTTCTTAAAACGTATTTAATTCAGTTAAATAAACGAGATTGCTATTGAACAACATGATAGATACTAGCTTATCCAAAAAATAAAATAATAATAATAAAAAAAATGATTATACTAATTATTGATTTTTTTTTATTAATTTTGTAAACATTCTTTATTAATTAGTGTCAAATTAGTCGTTGGGCGACGCTGGAGATTTGACGATAAAGGCCTAGAAAGTGTCTTTTTCTTTATTTTATTTTTAATTAAGTACTTAGAAAGTTTTTTATTGATTGAGATACGGTCAAATACATCTGCGTATATATTTTATGGTAAATTACGGTCACCATCAAAAAATGCTCAAATTACAAAAGAAAATTCTCGTGTTTGAATAATTACAACTACTCATTCAATTAATATTGACTAACACGTTATCACTTACGGCGTTAGATTCACCTACTGAATCATGGGTATTTTGTAGGACTAAACATAGTTGATGAGTGATTGTAATTATCTAAACATAAGGAGTTTTTTTTCTCGTAATTTGGGCTTACCTCATTGGGTGGCCGTAATTTGCCCTATATTATATACATAAATGTAGTTCATATACTTTATTTTATTTCATACCATACTAGTGAACTGGTTTTGTAGAGCTTAAATCTGGTCAAATACACTATCCAGTTAAAAATCGTAGACTGCACATAATAACACACGCGTGTTTATATTTATATGTATTTAGTGGATAGTAATCTATATAAATCTATGGTTTAAAATCTAGTATTGTATTTCAATGTGTATAGGGATCTCATAAGCCCACAATAAAATCAATATCGGGGTCCTGTATACGTTAAAACGACATGTCACCTATACTTAAAGAAATTTAGTATTGCAAATTAAACATTTCCACTAAAATTATTTACTTAATAAATCATCATCAAACAAGAAAAATGAAGAAAAATAATAATAATAAATGTTCGATACATCACCCCATGATTGGATTGATGCCTAAAGACAAACTTCATCACCATATATGCCAAAGAGCTAAATAGGTTCCAATGTGTTAGGTGCATTAATTTTTTAATTGTTTTTACTAACCAAACCCAATAAATTAACATAAACAATTAACATTTAATTAGTTTTTTTTTTTTTTTTTTCAGAAAGAGACATATGAATTAAAGTAATATAGATTACAAAATATATACATTGAATGTGTAAATGATACTCCATCCGTCGCAATTTAAATGTCGTTTTGGGTTGTTTTGCACATATTAAGAAAATCAATAAATGTGCATATATTATAGTAAAAAAAACAGATATAATTACTAAAATATCCTCGACATTAATTGATTCTCAACTAATTAATTAGAAGTGATTAAGGGTAAAATTAAAAATAATGCAATTAATGATAAAGGAGAAAATGTAAAATGACAAATAATTTGGGACAAAAAAAACTCTCTAAAAAGACATAATATAGGACATAGGGAGTATTATCTATACGATAAGGACAATTAAATCAAATAGAGAAATACTGAATTTTATAAAACAACTAATTAAATGACTTATCTTTTGGATTAACAGACATAGGGCCTACTGTTTTTAACTGATTTGTTAATTTGATCTATTAAAAAAAACATATGTAATATCAATTTTATGGTGTTTTTTATTAGTGAAACATATTTACTAAAATACTATTGCAGTTGAATTATTTGCACCAACTAAATATATATGTATTTTGTTTTAAATTGGCCTTATTAAATATAAGGGCAAATTACAAGAACCCTAGGGTAAGGCTTAATTATGAAAAAACACTCTTTACTTGCATGATTACGGACATCCTCCTGAAATTAACGGGCTGCGGAAAAACATAACAGGACGTAGTTAAAATAGATAAATGAAAGAGAAAAAACGGTCTTACATTTAATTTTCTAATTTTCTTGCATTCGGCCCTTCATGTAATACAGAAAACTTCTTCTGACACAAAAATGACTAGTTAACAACAAATAAAAAAAAAAGAATGAGACAAAAAATACCTTAAGGTGGTGCTCCTAATTATGCAAACAAAAAGGGTTTTTTTGCAATTAAATCTTATCGCAAAGGTCCTTATACTTTTGCCAAAATATAATTTGACCTACAACCGAATAGAAAGAGATGTGAGATGATGATTGATTGATAATGGTAAAATTATATAGGTGATATTATTAATTAATAATAACTATAGGTGATGATGGGTCATTGTCAATATTTTTATATGTATAATTTTATTTTAAAAAGTCAATATTTAAATTTTAGTCACATTTTGTCTTATACTTGTTCTAGTATGCTCATAGCCCATAGGTGTGACTTGCACCGCTCAGAACTAATTTATAGAATTGCCAAAAATATTTATATAATAAAAGGATTCAAGAGTATTTTATTCCATCATACTTTGGAGAATCTTAATTAATTGCTATCATTTATTCTTTTTTTATTTTTTATTTTTGTTAAATTCATTGTGAACTTATGAAAATAAAAATTTATTTATGAATAATATAATAATATTTAGTCCAATATAGTTTATAACTCTCCTACTATTGTAGTTTAACCAATTCGGGTGACTGCAACATTTCTTGTAAATAAAATAAATAAATAAATAATAAGTCAGTTTAATGATTATGAACTGGAATTATTGATTAATTTATTATTGTTATCATATGATTTTGAACTTTGAAGTCAATATGTGCCGACAAAACCTAGATAATTTTATAAAGCTAAATACGAGACCAAAAATCAATTTTAGATCACCTATAAGATTCTTCACTTAATAAATAAATAAAGCTTCAAATTCAAGGTTCTTTTTTTTACAATATATTTCCAGTGATGTAAAATAATGATATGTTATAAAAACAAACTCAAATTAAAATTTATTTACCGAATATAATTTGCACTTTAATTTGTCGCATTTGATACTTCATGGGTCATTGCGACAATAGTCATACTAGAAAGGTGCAAAGTGTATTTAACCTTCTTGTATATTTAAAATTGACCAATATTTTTTTTTGTTCAAAATGGTCACACAATCATGGCAAACCTACTCATCAACAACTATTACAAATACATTAATAAATTGTGACCTCTAAATGAAAATTTTAAATAGAATTTTAATTGAATTTTTTTTAAATGTAAAAAAAAATGTACTTCACTTTAATCACAATTCTGCCATCTGACTTTCAATTGCTAAACAGTCAATAATTTTACAGAGGGTAATCAGTGTCAGTCTTCCAACTTCTCTCTCTTCATTTTGGGATATATATATATATATATATATATATATATATATATTGAAAACATATTAAAATTCGAAATTAAATAGGATTTGAATGAATATTGATGACAGTTTGATGTGTGCAGAAATAGTATAAGAATTAAAGAATTAATATGTCTGTTTCTGTAGCCATGTTTGGACACTTTGTTAGACATGTCATTGTTAATTCTTGTCCTTTGACAGATCACAACATAGACTTAAATGTCAAATTGGATTTTATTTTCAATTCTTCATCTTATGCTTTGATACTTTGCGAACGGGTGATGATATACGCAGGCCAAATTCAACATTCAGGCACTTTTTTACCATGATTTTTTACCTGTGTACCATAACTATTTACCTTTTGTACTATTCATATGCACTGAATCGGACTGTGCACTAGTCAAGTGCTCGCGTAAATTCACACGAGCAGGCCAAAGTCCGATTTTTTTCGTTTTTTTTTTCGGATTCGTAATCTACATAACAAGAGGATCGTAAAAACGTAAAAATTACCTCCGATCTGTTGACGATTTGCACGGGCTTTGCTAAAGAAAATCGAAAGGGTAGAGAGAGTTTTTGAGTTTTTTACCTTTTGTTTTTTGAGAAATGGTAAAAAATGTGCCTGAACATTTAATTTGTGCCTGCACAAATCATTTCAGCTTTGAAAATAGGACCATTTAAGATTTGTTTTTGTTTCATTTCATGGATTAAATTGGGATCCCATTGAATTATATTTGCATGTGTTTGGCTAACCGTATAGGCTGCTGAAATGAGTTTATAAGTTTTTCAAAGTGTTTCGTAATTTTTGTAAAAAGAAAATCTTAAAAATTCAAAAAATAAGTTGTTGAAGAGTTTTTCATATATTCTTTCAAAAAATATTTATATCCCAACTTTTTTTCAAGCACTTTAAAAGTTAATTTATAAAAATAAGACGTAACAACTTATCAGCTCTTGAGATAAGTTATCAGACGTAAGAGTTTATCAACTGTTTAAAATAAGTTTAGTCAAATAATCTCTATCCATACTAACAAATTATTTAGTTCATAACACATTTTTCATTCAATAATCTTATTTCATATTTTTAATCCCACCTTAAAAGAAAATCGGCAGATTTTCTTAATACCAAGACTCGTGGCTATCGACAAATGTGTTAGTCCGGTCCTTACAAGACCGGTTCCCACGGGTTTGACGGGCCAACCGGTCGAACCTATTAACTCCTAAATTACACCCACCCTCACACCCACCAGCCGGCCCAATTCTTGTTCCAGTAGTTGAAATGTTCAATTTGGGCCAATTCAATTAGTAAATGGCACACAACATGAAAAATAAAAATTACAGATTAGCAACAATATATATTTTCTACGTACAATGAGACCCCTATTTCTCATGTTTTCCAATTTTGTACAAAAAGAAAAAGTTTAAAGTCAACACTAACTTTGAATACCACAATTAACATCTAATGTTAAATAATCTCAACCAATAATAATATTTCTAACTCATTTCCCTCCCCTTGCTATTCTATCTTCTTGATCCTCAAACAACTCCCCAATCTCCTCCAAACTCTTGCCACTTGTCTCCGGCAGCAAAAAGTAAAAGTACACCGTCGCCACCACCATTACTCCGGCGAGCACAAAAAACGTCCCTCCGAAACTAATCTTCTCCGAAACCGTTAGAAACGTCATCGAAACAACCCCACTGACCAACCGGTTGACCGAAACCGCTATGGCCGTCCCTTGCGCGCGTAATCTCGTCGGGAAAATCTCCGACGAGTATACCCACGTGATTGGGCCAAGCCCAATTGAGAAGAATGACACGTCAGCACATACACCTACGACGCATAGTGCAATGGCCCACATGGGCTTTTGGGCCCGATGTTCGAGAAATTTCGAACCGAGGCCCAGCCCGGCGAGGGAAACCGCCATGCCGGTTGTGCCCAATAAGAGGAGAGGCCTTCTTCCGTAGTGGTCGAGGAAGAGTGCGGAGATGAGGACGAACATTGTTTTCGTGATCCCCATGATCACGGTGACTCCCATTAGGCCTTTCCGGTTGTGTACGCCGGCAGCTTTGAAGACGAGCGGCGTGTAGTACACGACGGCGTCGTTGCCGGAGGCCTGCATGAAGAAGTTGATGCCGATCGCCGCCACCAGGATGCGACGGAGGGCTCTGGAGGGGCAGAGGAGCTCCCGCCACACGCCGTCCCCAGCAGGGGACGGCGTGTCCTGGGTGGCGGCGGCGGAGATCTCGTCGAGGCGGATCTCCGCCTCCTGGTCGGAGGTGGAGGTGCGGCGGAGGACGCGCTTCGCCTCATCGACTCTCCCCTTCATGACCAGCCACCGCGGCGACTCCGGCATGAACATGACGCCGGCGGCGATGCCAACCGCCGGCACGGCGGCGAGGCCGAGCATCAGCCGCCAGTTGTAGCGGGAGGGGAGGCCGGAGAGGGAGAGGTTGACGACGTAGCCGAGGAGGATGCCGACGTTGATGAAGACCTCCGGGAGCGAGGTGAGGAAGCCGCGGGTGACGGCGGGGGAGACCTCGGCGGTGTACACCGGAGCGATCATGAGTGAGTAGCCGACGCCGACGCCGGCAACCATTCTCCCGGAGATGAGGTAGGGGTACGACGGCGCGAGGCCCATGAGGAGCGCGCCGATGAAGAAGGTGGCGGCGGCGAGCACGATGGTGTAGCGCCGCCCTATCAAGTCGGAGGTCTTGCCGGAGGCGAGGGATCCGATCAGGGAGAAGACGTTGAGCGAACCTACTAGAATCTCCACCTCCACAGACGAAAGCTTGAGGTTTTCTCTGATGAATAGAGCGGCGCCGCTCATTACTCCGATATCTACACCTCCGTCGTCAACCCACATTTTTCAAATTAGGGCTCACAAAATTCAAATCCACAAAAAAGAAAATCAGATTTTAAATTACCGTAACCCAATAGAATAGAATTGGTGGAAGCTAAAAGTGCGCAGGCGAGGGCGAATTTATTCAGGCGAGGGAGTCGTCGTTTTTGCGGTAGGGATTCTTCTTCCATTGGAGCGCTGATCAAAACCTGAGTAGAGCGAGATTTCCTGTGTGGTGTTTTAATTTTTTGTCGTAAGTGTGAAACGAATCTCAGTAAATATGTTTGGTTATAAGGATGGATATAAAAGCGGATTAGACTAAAACCTGGCAATGTTGAAGGGCGTTGCGCCACGTGGAATGAGAGAGAGAGAAAGGCTAGAGCGAGAAAGAGAGTGGCACAAATTTGAAGATCTTCTTGGGATGTCGAGAACATGAGTCTCCTCACATCCTTAATTTCTTTTAATTAAATAAATATTAAATATTGTTTATTAAGATTAACCCAATAAAGTTAATCTAAATTAGGATAGAATAAGAAGATGTTTGGCTTAAGTTTATTTTAAACAGCTGATAAGCTCTTACGTTTGATAAGATGTTTTAAGAGCTGATAAGCTGTTACATCTTTTTTTTTAGGATTAATTTTTATAGTGTTTGGACAATGGACTTATTTCCTATTTTTATTCATTAAAAGATCTTAAATAAAAAAGGTGGGGCAAAGGTACTTATTTAAAAAGATCTTATTTGCTTTCCAACATCTAATTTGAAAAAAAATTAAGATCTTTTTTTAAAAATTTACCAAACACTTTAGAAGAACTTATAAGCTCTAAAACATCTTATAAGCTCATTTTAACAACTTATAAGCTTAACCAAACACCTTCTAAATCTTGTATTATCTGACCTAGTAAGTACTAATCTAGGTGCTTCAACCTTGGAAATATGTGGTTGATTAACAGATTAATCCCTCAGCCTTGCAAAACTAATTGTCCAAAATTCTAATTAAATACTAACAATTATTTAATAAATGATTATTTATTCTTATTTTAGTCTGCGGGTTTTCAAATTGGTTAGAAGGTGTGGAGTGTGTGACATTTTTCTAAGGATTTTTTTCTTTTAATAAACATTTTATTTTTCTCATCTATATATCGTTTGATAGTTATCATCGTTTACTCTTTATTTTTTATTTATTTTTAATTAATTATTCTTATAAAAGCTTGTGGATTTTGTCGTCGTCATCAAGCATTAACGCAGCTTTTCTCCTGTCGTATGTGTACTTCTTTTATTGTCGGAACAAATAATAAAAAAAATTGGGATTATTTGTCAAAAGCCCTCCATTGCACAAGGCTAATTACAACATGTCCAATTTTTTTAGAATTTTTTGAGATAAATCCATTTTAACATTAAATATAAAAAAATAATAAATTATCACTATTTTGCCCCTAAATTAAAAGTAACTCATATAAAAAAACTGAATTGGCCCATTACCAACAACGCCGCCTTCTCCCCTGCAATTCAGAAACCCTATACCGTCTCTCTGCCACACGACCCTCTTCCCATTAATCTCCACCTCCAACAACAACAACTCCATCAATCGAACCGCCGGTCACGTGAAGAACACCCAAACCCGCATCTCCGTCAATTTCAAAACCCATGATTTCACCTCGCCGGAGAAGAACGCCCTCAAAGACTGCATGGAGATGCTCGATCAAACCCTGTACGAACTCGAACAAGCCCTAATCCAATTGGGCGGCGGTGCCTCTCCTCCTCCGACAATTGGCTACAATCTCCGCCGATCGTACGGTAACATCAAAACCCTCTTCAGTGTCGCCATGACGAATGAGAACACCTGCATTAATGGGTTCTCCGATTTGGAAGAAATTGATTTGGTTGGTGGGGGTAGAAACCCCCAAAAGGCAATCACAAAGTACACCTTCAGATCTGCTTACCCCCAAGTTCACACATGATCAGTAATAGTGGATTATGTTTTTTATTTGTTATGGTTTGAGAGTGTGTTATTAGTGGATTACACTAATTAGACTGACAATTCGTTAACTTTTTCTTTTTGGCTCAGGTTCTTGAGCAACCAAAGTGATGTCGAATTTGTTTGTATACCTTTGTTAATAGTGGTTTTGGATGAACATTTGTTAATAGTGGTTTTGGATGAACATATACTGGATTATACTTATGTAAGAGTGGATTACGTTATTTTTAATGTGAATTATGCTAATTTTATAGTAAATTTTACTTCAATTCGATAGTGGTTTTCGATAAATTTATGCTTATTTTATATTAATTTGTACTTTAATGTCATAGTGGTTTTCGATAAATTTAGTGGTTTTCATGTTATATAGTTGGTATACAGAGTGGTTTTCATGTTTATATAGTTGTGTTAAATAGAGTGATTTTCATGTTTATATAGAGTGGTTTTTATTTAAAAAAAAACTGGAAAGAAAATAAAAAAAATCATTTAAAAAAAAATTGAAATTAAAAAAAAAAAAAAACTATGAAAAAACGAAAATAAAAATAAAACCATTTTTTTAAATTAAAATAAAAAGCATGAAAATATAAGTAATAAATTTAAAAAAAAAATAATAATAATTACAAAATTTTCTTTTAAATCGAAATAAAGAAAACCATTAAACAAAATAAAAAAGAAAAGGAAAAAAAAAAACTGAATTGGCGTGATAAGGGGAATAATTTTTGGAGAAGATTTGGGTGTAGATTATGTGTATATATTTTTTTTTAATTAAATAAGTATACTAATTAATAGTTAGTGGGGGCATATATGGTTTTTCAGGTCCATTAAATTTATCTCAAATATCATTTATAAAAAAAGGATTTATCAAGAATTAAAATCCCAATGAAGGGTGTTTGGCATATTGCCCCAAAAAAATTAGGTTGTCTTATTTGTTACTATACTATTGTAACAATTAATTTTCTTTAATCCAGTTCATCATTGTTAACGGAGTTCTCTATTTTTTCCTTTTTTTTTCAATTTCGTATTGACTTTTTCTTTTCAATTTTAGATTTTTACTTTTTTATTTTATTTATTGACTATTGTAATTGAAAGTACTAGTAATTTGACCCGTGCGATGCACGGGATTGAACAAAACAAACATAACAATCATTAAAAAAACAGAAATATAAATATATTGAATATTTAACTGAAAAATCTAATAAAAACTATATATTTAATATTTTACTGGAAAATCTAATGAAAATCTATCCACCAAAGAATTAATCCGGCCACCAACAGAGTAGTTGTCTTCAACTCTTGATCATATATACCTGCACCATAGGACAAAAAAAGAAAAAAAAACTTTTTATAAATTGAAAATAAATGTTACAAAGCTCATTTATAGAACTTTGAAGACAAAAAATCCATATATAAATTTAAACAAATATATAAATAACTTACTTAGCTCAGATTTTGGAAAACTTCTTTGTAAACGACGTTCGTAGTAGTATTTGAGGTGTTCCCGTCGTTGTCACAAATAAGTATCTTCAAGCATCTTCGACTCGTAACTCTTGAGATAGCAACATATAATTGTCCATGTGAAAACACTGGTTACTGAAGATATATACCCACATGTTGAAGAGATTGGCCTTGATTTTTATTTATCGTCATTGTAATCGAAAGAGTGATAGGAAATTGTCTACGCTGGAATTTAAAATGAATCCTGCTATCTGATGGCGTTAGAGTCAATCGTGGAATAAACACCTTGTGACCCATGTTGGTTCCTGATATATTTTTCGCTTCCAAGACTCGATTTCCTAATCTTGTGATAGACAGTCGGGTGCCATTGCACAAACCTGAAGATTGGTCTATATTTCTCAACAACATGACTGGAACACCTTCTTTCAGTTTTAATTCGTGATTTGGAAGACCAGAAGAATTAACGGTATTCAAAAACTCGGGCGTATGAATATCATCAGGTCAGTCAATGCTTCCGTTCGCTGAGCATGTACTATCAAAACTGAGATATGTCTTCATTTCCTTAGGAACCAACGATAGCATGTAATCGTTTACCACATCAACAATCTCATTTGTCGGAGCCAGTATGACCTTGTGTTGCAAATAACTGATATCACCCATATTCTCTAAAAATGATGCGTATGTCTCATTTACAATTGAAGCAAGTAGATCAGCTGACTCTTTTATGAGTAAGTCATCAGGGATTTCAATGTTGACCACCCCATCATTGGGATCACCTATGGTGCCATCCCCAATACTAAACACCCATTCTGAAAAAAAATTTACTTCGGAAATCTCTGAATCTGATTTGTCGGATAGGAGTCTCATATTTTTTGTCAGTGTCAGAACTTGACAATATTCCCATAAAGGTGATGAATTAATGCTGGCAAAAACTACTTCTTGTTTCGTTCCTTTTGGGATCACAGGTAGAATCTGTCTAAAAGCGCCACAAAAAACAACTATTTTTCCACCGAAAAGTTCATTTTTGCTGTTTGGATTGGAGAATTTCAGTATATCTTTGAAAGTCTTGTTCACAGCCTCAAAGTGTTTTACACTTTTACTACCGATCAAATATTACGAATGAAGTCGACCTAGTACTATCAATGGCACTCACCCGAACTCTGAACCTGTACAAAAATATATATTTTATATACACATTTCGAATACCAAGAGGAATGATTGTGCAACAATTCAAATGAACTTATTTCGTAAAATATTACTAAATCAAAGTATAATTACCTTGGTACAACAGAAGCAAACTTGTCACACTCTTCGCACCAATATTTCTTTGAGACAGGTCGACCTTCTTCATACAATTTTTACACGAAGCATACCACCAATTAGCTGCCGACTCGATTTCAAGAATTTTCACCAGCGCGGATCCAACACACTCCTACAATATATATACAACAATCGATTCTTAAGCATTATATTTGTTTATGTAAAAATATATCATATATATTTTAGACAAATCAACGAACCTTTGTACTCTCAACGCACTCATCTATGGTCATTCTATCTGCCTGGAGTGGATCTTCTGATCGAGTCAAAGAAAGTTGGGACGATAATTGACTAACTGATGGGATATAGACTTAACATTTACCTAACTAAGTTACATGAAAAATCCGTGTACCAAATAATAAATATTCATCCACATTCTTCTTTATTGTGTCGAAACAAACGAACTTGAAGTTGGTTGTCGGAATATTTTCGGCTACTGTATTAGTAACTACAGTCATTCCGATAAAATTGAGCTTAAATTTGTATGTAGATACTCTAAATGGTAAATTTGAATCACCCACCAAGAAATTTTGAAACATATAAGTTTCGCCTTCTTTCACCAATTCCTTCAATTTCATAATGAGATTTTTTTATGGTAGCATGAATACGCATACCCTATTACAAAATCAATAAAATAGTTAGCTCCTAAATATTGGAAATATAAAAAGAAAATAAAAAAAAAAATCGAAAAAGAATCCGGAAAAATAAAA